TTTTAGTATTTTATCTTTCATATTTATGTATTTTAATCTGTTAAAGCCATGCGTTTCTGTTTAATATTTAAGTCTTTCATCTGTTAAAGCCATGCATTTCTGTTTAATATTTAAGTCTTTCATCTGTTAAAGCCATGCATTTCTGTTTAATATTTAAGTCTTTCATCTGTTAAAGCCATGCATTTCTGTTTAATATTTAAGTCTTTCATCTGTTAAAGTCATGTATTTGTCTTTGGTATTTATGTATTTTTATCTGTTGACACGGTCGCTGGGATTTTTAAATATGTAACGGGCAAATTGTTCCCAGGAGGGAATAAAATCTTTTTGCTATAGTTCTCGCTAGTGTATGGGAAGCACTGCCAGTCTCATAGAAATGCCTCAATCGTGTGCTTTGAGTAGGGCATAGAGTCTGGGTATTTTAAGGTGATATTCAGTCAGTTCTGGCCAGGTTTTGTTTCCATTATTAATTAACTTTCTAATTGATTTGTTTATATTTTGCAAATTATTTTACGTTCATCAATTATTTCATATACATTTTCATCATTGAATAAACGTTTTACTTTTATGAAATATAGATATTCGTATTCATAAAGTGAGGCATGTTTCATTAAATGTAACTTACAAAGCTGGTCTTTTCAAATTATTTTTGTGAATTTTTCATATCAGCAAATCTGTTGTCCTAAGACTTAATGAAGGCAAGGAAGAAAGTTTTCAAAGTTCACAGTATCAATTTTGCATTCATGCATAAGAATCTTATACGTAACAATTTATCAAATGATAAGTTTTCCTTTTGTCTTTATTCATTCACACACACACACACACACACACACACACACACACACACACACACACACACACACACACATATATATATATATATATATATATATATATATATTAAGAGATTTTTATGTTTATACATTCTTTTTATAGATACAAATATTTAAGTAAATGCTCTGTTTATAATAAACAGTATTAAACAACATTTACCGGCTTGAATGTCCGAGAAATTTTCACAGAAAATATTCGTCCTCCGACAAGATTCGAACCTGTATCCTATACGGAACCGTCATTTAGCTATTATAAACAAATCATTTACTTAGTATTTGAGCGTCTTTTGCAGTGAAAAACAGATTGATTGGGAAATTCATGCAAAAAATCAAATAATTTTCGGATTTTAATGAAACTCTCTGAACTTATTCACAAATAAAGAAAATTATTTTAAAAAGGGACATTATTTAATTAGAAAAAACTTTTAATTGTTTTTATGAATATATAGATATATTATGGATACTATTGTCTTTAAAAATGTTCCGATGAATAATGAATTTTTACAAGAATTGTTTTCATTTTAAAATTTTTTTTAAGAATTTAATTATAATGATTTATAAAGTTTTCAATTTTTAAGATTCTGTATTAATTTGTAGCGATTAGGTGATATTGTTATTAAGTAAAATTCACCAATCATAAATGGAAAAGTTCAATACAATTCAGCCACTTCAGTATTCTAAAAAGAATTTTGAATTTATTGTATCGTGTCATTTTTATAAATACGAACGCCCATACACGATATTGTCAGAAAATAAGATGAGGTAACCCTAGTGAATTTAAAAAAATTTCTATTTCCTCAACCCGTGACTTTGTACGTAAGACTATAAAGAAAAAGTATAAAATTTCAATAAAATATTAGATTTCTTAGAATATTTTCTTACATTTTAAGGTTACCGAGTATTTAATAAAATTATATAAAATGTCGTTGGCGTTAAATTCATCAGGTAATTTTTACAGTTATGTCTCTGGTAGAAAAATTCCCCAACATATGTTTATCGAAAAAGTTTTCAGCACCTCATAAATATCTACCACCGTGTTAAAAATCCCCTTCTGTGATATTTTAAACTAAAAGTAATATTTGTTTCAACTCAGATTAATTAAACTTTAAATCAGCTAATCGCCCTTAAAATAAAGTTTCAGAGAAGTATATTTTATTTTTGAATGCTTTTTTAGTAAAGAGAATCATGTTGTGCTGACAGATTCGCTAATATGGCTAGTTTTTTTTAGCAATTTTAACGATTAAAATCATTCCAATTAATTTAAATTCGGTTTGAAATACAGTAAATTTCTCTCTCTCTCTGTCTCTCTCTGTCTCTCTCTCTCTCTCGATATATATATATATATATATATATATATATTAACTGATTTAAAATATGATTTCTTTGCTACACAGGAATTACCATGTTTCAAAAATTGAAGCTAAAACTTCAAATTTAATTATATAATTAAATTAAAAGACTGTTTCATCTTCAATCGAATTTTGGAATAACTTATTTTAAAATTCACCGAGTTTTAAACGCACATACAATTGATAATTTTTTGTTTCCAAGGATCCAGTCAGGGGCGGTAGCGTGTTCATTTTTATTAACTATTATTGTATCAATAATGAGTTACGTTCGAAAAAGAGGTTAAGTCTAGGGATGGTTGGGGTGCATTTTTCAACGAATTTTGTCATCCGTTCAACGCATATCGTCAGTTTTTTTTTATCAACGACAAAAAAGTTTTCGGCAATTTTCCGTTAATTTCGTATACTTGTATACTTAAAGATTCTTTCTAAAAGGGGTGTTTGGGTTATACGTTATATTAAACTACAATTTTAAAATATTATTTTTACTCTTAATTACTAATAGACTATATTTCTTTTTAAATCAAATAAATGTAATAGAATTACTTAAATTATTTAAAAATTATTATTACATATCAAATATTAGTATGTAAATTACCAGCTCTCATTTTTTTATATTTTTAATTTTTTTTTAATTTTTAATTTTATTTTTAAATATTATTTAAGGAAAATTTTTGACAATGTCGGTAAAGAATAGCTATTTCATTTCTTTGATTCAGTAAATTTATATTTTTTATAAACTTAGTAATATATAGTTTCTCATGTATGCACAGAGGACATGGGTCATTTAATGACCTACATATTCTAGCTTTTATTAATTTCCATTTTACTCTAGGTGACTTATTGGTTTCTTTTAAGCGCCAGAAATATTTCGATAGGGACGTCTGATTTCGGTATTTATTTATCCTAAATGAAGTTTGATGTTGATTGAATCTCTTTTTGAACTCATGGCTTGTGCAACCTATATAGATTTTTATGTTTTCAGGATTCTCAATAGATGAGATATTGCATTGGTATACTAATGATTCTGTGCGACATTTATTTTATAGAGGACAGTTATGAGGATTTCTACAGTTACATAATTTTTGTTTATCTTCATCTCATTTTATTTTTATATTGTCCTTTGTTCATACATGATAAACTATATATTACTAAATTTATAAAAAATAGAAATTAAATTTTTCATAGAAAACATTCATCCTCCGACAGGAATCGAACCTGTATCCTATACGGAACCGTCATATAGCCTGACGTGCCTTCACCGATTGAGCCACAGAGAATCGTCCGATTAGCCATATCGATTTTACTGCTTTTCTTCCATGAATCTCTCACGTATTTTTATGTTTACATATTTATATGTTTATGCATATGAAAATTTCTCGGACATTCAGGCCGGTAAATGTTATTAATACTGCTTATTATAAACAGTGCATTTACCTAAATATTTGTATCTATAAAAACAAAAGTATGTGTAAACATAAAAATGTCTTAAAATAATTGTCGGACGTTGTCCATTTTCATAATATATATATATATATATATATATATATATATATATATATATATATATATATACACATACACTTAAATCTCTCTCTCTCTCTCTCTCTATCTATCTATCTATCTATCTATCTATCTATCTATCTATCTATATATGTATATATATATTCAAGCTTGGTTTAGTATCAAACAAAGCTATAGTACTTGGGCCCTCGTTTAGAATTGAACTTATTATACTTTAGATTTGTCCACACACGAAAATATATTGTTCATACACAAACGCCTACATTTACATACAAAAATCAAGTATACATTTATATATTCTCAGCTATTAAACACACACGCACACGCATATAGGTATACACACAAATTATTCAAACACACATACACTCGTAAATATTTCAAAATTCATATGTAAGTACATATAGATATTTTGTCTCTCCCTCTTTGAATATATATATATATATATATATATATGAGTGTTTTTTTCGTATATGTAAACATATGCGAACACAAATATTTATCTTTCAACTGATTGATTGTTAATTTTGTCGGTAATTCTAATTGGTTTCAATCTTGCCTGAAGTGAAGTTTCCAGTTTTCTCTTCCCCGCCCAACAACAACAACAACAACAACAACAACAATATCTAATCAAGGAAAAATAAAATCCTCGACCTGTTGGAAGAAAAAAACTTCATGTCTTCGTTCGCCAATCAAAAGTTTTGAATGTTATTTGAACTCAAGTTCAACATGTGTGCATATCCATGATGATATTCCTCCCTATCTAAAATGACCCTGGCCCAGACGATCTCCTCTTCATATCTTTCGAAGACATTGCTTGATTTTAACTTTGTTCGTTGGATTTTTTCTTCTTCCGTCCTCCCTTCAACATCTGCATTCATTACTCTCTTCTATTCTTCTTTTCCAGCCATATCCGTCTCTTTCTCTCTCTGTCTCTCCTTCTCTCTCTGTCTCTCCTTCTCTCTCTATGCTTTGTCTTTTAAATTTTATCTCTCCTTTCTTCTTCGTATGTCAGCTTTATTTTATTCACACACATGTTTCTCTCTTTTCAATTTGTTATTACTTTCCTCGTGTCTCTTCCTTTTCTTTTAATAATGCATTTTGAAAGATTATTTAAGAAAGAAAATAAGAAAAAAAATTGGCAAAAGAAAATAAAAACAAAGGGCAGTGAAATAAAAAAGATGAAGAGAGTAAGAAGAACGAAAAACTTGATAAAATGATGTTAGAACAGAAGAATCAGCGAGAGATGAAATGAAGAATAAAAGAAAACAAATAAAGAAGGGGAAATAACAAAAAAAAAAAATTAAATATTTGAAGGAAATAAGACAAAGCGAAAAGCTGAATTAAAAGGAAGGAGATTATAGAAGAAAGGAAAGGAAAAGTAACCGGAACAAAGTGAAAGAAAGAAGAAAAAATGTTTAAGAATTATAGGATTATCTATGACAAAGAATGCAAGCAAGAAAAAGTGAAAAGGAGAAATAAAGCAAGCAAGCAAGAAAGAGAGAATAAAGAAGAAGAGAAAAATCAAAATTTCAGAGAATGAACGAAAAACAATAGAAAGAAAGTAAATATTAAATAACAAAACAGAAAAACCGCGCGAAACCAAACGAATAAAACAAAGAAAAAAAGAAAGAAAGAAAATAAACAAGAAAGAGAACGCAAGAAAGAAAAAAGACCTTCAATGATGACAACAGCAATAAACATTTTCTAAACAGTTATAAATGTATATGATAGATGATAAACACGTTTTTATTACTTTTGCAGGCGTGTAAAAAGCAGAAGAGAATTTTGAAAGGGAACATATTTGCTTGGGGATATGAGCAACTTCTTTGTGCATCTGATTACGACGTGAACAACTAATAACAAGATTTTATCCAGCGCGTATTAATCTGCAATAAAAAATAGTCTTACATCATCCAAGTGTTTATATTTATTCTTACTCTTTGAAATGCATTAATTTTTTTCTCTCTTCCTGCAGTCAAATGATGAAAAATATGGCTGTTGACAGCGTTTCATAAAATGGAATCTGTGAATTGAGTTCGAAATGAAGTATGGATTTAATAATGAATAAACTTTCATTCCCTACTGAGACAAGGACGATTATTTAGGTTGAACATTTTGAATCTGGAAGCTGATGAAGGATGGTTGTAGACGATGAGTTGTAGAAAGGTTTTTTTTTGAAAAATAAATCAAACCAAAAAATTTTCAAGACAACAAACAATCTTATATATATATATATATATATATATATATATATATATATATATATATATATATATATATATATATATATATATATATATATATACATTAATCTGAATCACTCCATGCAAGGCAGTAATGCCACTAAAACACAAGGGATTACAAAGAATTAGGATCAGAAACATTAATGATAAGCAAAAAGAGAAAAGAGTCATCAGAAGGACAGATGATAGCGATTGACATTGCATTTAAATTGCAGATTAAAGTTGGCTGAAAAACATGAAGTCGGAAGGGATTTCTACAAGCGAGAAGTGCGAGAGAAGAAACTGTTGGCAGAGAAGTTACGGCTACATCTAGCCAGCTCAACTGTATATATATATATATATATATATATATATATATATATATATATGTGTGTGTGTGTGTATTTTTAAATTTATTAATTCGAGAGATTTTTATCATTTTAAACATGATTTCTAATAGATACTCATATTTGAATAGATGCCCGTTTATTTATTTTCGTTTACCTGCCTGAATATTCGAGAAATTTTATTCAAGAAAAATATGCAGCCTCCGCTAGGATTCGAACATGCATCCACCTGGCCGGATGAAAACAGCCGGATATATATATATTACATAGGGGGCATCTCAAGGCGGGGTAATGGTTAGCAAGCTTGGTTCGCTAGAACAATTACAACTGAGTAGTGAGTTCGATCCTCACTGGGTACCCCCTAATTTCGGCCTTGTGCCACATCTAAGCTACGCATGGAAAATCACTATATATATATTACATAGAATAAAACTCCAAATTTACCTTATTGGAATAGCTATTACTGCCAACAAGACTTGTTGGCTTTGTCAACTCAGAACGGTGAAGAAATAAAATATGAGCTTAAAATTTAAACAATAAAAGAAGAAGAAGAAGGAAAGAGAAAAAGGACAAAAGAAAGAGAGAAAGAATAACAAGTGAGTGGGGGTGCATTACATTTTTTAATTTTAGATGTTAATGTTTTACATACATTTTCATGATATTTTTTTTAATTTTAAAATCTTAAATTTGAAATATTTTTAAGTTATTTTTTTTTATATAAACTATCTATTTATGGTTATTATTTTTCTTATTTTTGGCCAGAGAAAATATTTTTTTTGTTCTTTGATTTAGAACTACTATTTACTATTTTAATTTTTAAACTCGTGTCTTTAATTTTGCGATACTGTTTCAACCTGACTAGAGATGTTAATATTTCAAAATATACGTCAAGGTAATTTTTAATTTTGTCTCTTTGAACCAGACACTTCCACTTCCCCTCCCATGATATTGGGAGTTTGTTTAACTTAATGTCTATATTTTCATCAATAACCTTCCACTTCCTTTCTGTACTTTCTCTCTTTCTTTTCTCCTTTTTCTTTTTCTCTTTCCCTTTTCTTCTTTTATTCTTAAATGTTTAAATTTTAAGCTTCTATTTTCTTCACCCTTCTGAGTTGACAAAGCCAACAAGTGTCTTGTTGGCAGAAATAGTTATTCGAATGAGAGGTAAATTTGGATTTCTATCCTATGTAATTTATATGCTCTGTTAAAATAAATACATTGAGCTCTTTTTGTGGATCAGTTTTTAATATTTTATATTATTAGGATTCACTTGGATTATATACCAACGGATTTTTACACACACACACACACACACACATACACACACACACACACACACACACACACACACACATATATATATATATATATATATTTATTATTCAGTGTTACATTAGAACATGTATATACCCACCACTACGTACATCTTGTTTAAACGTTAAAAAATGTTTCATCAGTTGGGAAATCACGAACCTGATGAAACGCTAAAAAATATTTTTTTTTAACGTTGAAACAAGATGCACAGTTTTGTAGTGGGTATGTACATGTTCTAATGTAACACTGCATAACAAAATAAATATTTATTGGTCTACTTTTGTATTGAGTCCTGTTTTAAATTAATGTTTTGAACGCTGAAATCTTACTCTTCGTTCTTTTATATATATATATATATATATATATATATATATATATATATATATATATATATATATATATATATATATATATATCTACGAAATGGACAAAGTCCGACAATTATTTTAAGTTATCTTCTGTTTATACGTTATTTTTATAGATACAAATATTTAAGTAAATACTCTATTTATAATAAACACTATTAACAACACTATTAAACAACATTTACCGACCTGAATGTCCGAGAAATTTTCATAGAAAATATTCGTCCTCCGAAAGGAATCGAACCTGTACCCTACACGGAACCGTCATATAGCCTGACGTGCTATACCAGTTTAGCTACGAAGGAGCGTCTGTTTAGCAAGGCCTCTATTTCTATGAAAATTTCCTCTTCTGGTGAGATCAATAGTTTGAACAAGGCAAGTACGCACAAACACTCGGTCATGATGACTTTTGACTTCGGCGAATAATTACATCCACCCAATTTCACTCACATGGCTTGGGTCAACCCGTTGTATGGTTTTCAAGCACTTCAAGGTACCATACGCTGGAATTGCCTCCCCAGGGCAATAACATCAATGAGTAACCATGGTGATATGCGAACTCGGATCTCATTGTGAGAAAGAAGTATTTCATTTATGTTATTTCCTAAGCCAATATACATGATCATAAAAGATAAAAAGAAAACGGTTAACTTAAGCCCTTCTATTATTTAAACTAAATAAATACATAAATAATTTATCAGATAATAAATAATAGTTACACTGAAAAATAAACACATATATATTAAGAAATCAAATCAAATCAACAATAACATTATTTACTCCCTTTCGTTTATTAGGCATTAAATGAAATCACTTAGCTCCATAGTTTGCACAGATAGTTTTAAGAATATTTTAGAGCGTTCTTAAATTCAAAATTTTGAAAATTTAAAGATATTTTACTTCTGTTTATAAATACATGTTGCAAAATAAACTATTTACATTTACCTTGATAAAGTCACTTGGGGGACGAAACGCATTGGTAAAAAAAAGTTCCTATTGTCATTTTACAGATATATTTGGCTGATTTAAATTAATATGAATACATATTACTTACTTTTAGTTTAAAATATCGCACAAAAGTTTTATTTTAACACGAAGGTGGGAGTTTTCACGGATTGCTGACAATAATATTGATAGACTGGTGTTTGGGAAATTTATCTGAAAAGGAGATAACTGCTATAAAATTACATGGCGAATGCATCAGAAACGACTTTTTTATATAATTATTTAACTACTTAGTAATCTTAAATTTTAAAAATATTTTAAGCATTCTAATATTTTATTTAATTTTAAATTAAGTACTTTGGTAAGCTTCACTTACGAAGACGCTTGTTAAAGAAATGTCAGAAAATTACCAATAAATTTTAAATTTACTTTAGTTACTGCTTTTATTTTCAGATAATGTCGTGTATGGATATCCGTATTTAGAAAAGTTTTACCTTTATATACATAAATTCAACATTTAAAAAAAATTGGTGGTCGCTTGAAACAGAGCTTTTCCATTAATGATTAGCAAATACAGTTTAAACTTAATAACATTATCTAAAAATTAGTACAGAATTTTTTTCTTGTAAATTCTTGTAAATTGAATTAATCGAAAACAATTTTTCTTAAGACAATAGTGTTCATAGTATATTATATTTATACAAGCAATTAAAAGGTTTTCTAATTAAAATAATGTCTTAATTTTATTGCATTTTTATTTTTTACAATTCACGCCAGATTTTTTATGAACTGGAGGTCCAATTTGACAAAAAAAAAAAAAAAAAAAAAAATCATGATTTAAATTATCCGAGGATTTATCCTTAAAACTAGGTACCAAGAATAGCGACACGTAAAGTTTAAAATACTATTTCAAAATGAAAATTTTTTATTGAGACTTTTATTTCAGTTTTTATTACAAACTAATAGATTGAATTTAATATTTGCAATAAGAAAAATATTTTGCTGTATTTCAAATAGTATTTAAAAAGATTGGAATGATATTTTTTCTGATTATCAGTAAAATCTATTAAATCATCCATATTGAGAAATCTGTCAACACAGCATAATTCTGTTTATTAAAATATTTATCTAAGGAGGAGATAATGGTCATAAAATTACATGACGAATACAACGTAAACAGCTTTATATATATATATATATATATATTTAACTACCCAAGATCTTAAAGGATTAAAATATTTTTAAGCATTTTAATATTTTATTGACGTTTAGATACTTAGGTTTTATAGTCTTACGTACGAAGATGCTTGTTGATGAAATTACTAATTTTAAATACTTATTTTCTGATAATGTCGTGAATAGACGTCCATATTTACAAAAATTGTCAAGTTCACATACACACACACACGCGCACACACACAAACACATATAATTCGAGATTTTTTTTAAATACTGGGGGTTGTTGAACTGTAGTATGCATTTACATTTATGCTTAGTAAATACAGTTCTTATTTAATGGCAATATCACTTGACACCTACAAATGTATACAAAATTTTAAAAGGTTTAAAAGTTTAAAACTTATTCTAATTAAAATTAAAAAATGACAATTCCTATAAAAATTCATTATTTATCGAAAAAGATTTTCGTAAGACAATAATGTCGATAATTTACTTTATCCGAAAAGGAAATTAAAACTTTCTAACTAATGTCTTAGTTTTATTGCATATTTTATTTAACGATTCATAACAGATTTTCTCTAACTGGGAGTTATATTTGACCAACAAAATTTGATGGTTTAAATTCTTTCAAGACATATCCTTATAACTAAGATAAACATTAGCCGCTATAAAAAAGAATTTCTCGAAATTACATAAAAGCAAGTAACAGCGGGGTGTAACATGTAAGAAATATTTTTACCAAAATTTAAAAAAAAAAAAAGAAACATGAAATAATCTTATAATAATAATTATTTGAATAATTCCTAAGTTTCATTAAAATCTGACAATTAATACGATGTTTGCATTCTTACAAAATCTTTTAATGAATTTATCTTTTTTCTAGGTAAAAAAATATTATCTTTAAACCACTTTCCTAAATAAAGATGGCGGATTATGGAAGCTAGTACATTAATCATTGGAAGTAACATTAATCTATTAAATGATATTAGTGATTATGAAATAATTGAAGAATACGAATTCAATGAGAAAACACATTTGATCAAATCGATAAGAAACAACTAAATTTGACGACAAAATATGGTTTTGATTATTAGAATACCATAATATACTAACGTACAAATTGACAAATGTTCAAATTTTCCAGGACACCACCCCATAAAATCAAAAGCAAATCCCAACCTGTCGATTTTGTACAAATCAATGCCTTTTCACATTCAGTAAGTTTTTACAACAATAAGATACAATCTTGAATGATTATGGGACTTTATTTATGAGCCCTTAGAATTTACATCCACATGTATCAAGCTGAATAAAAATACCTCCATTATATACAATACTTATACAATGCCTAAAGAAAAAAAAACATACAAAATTCACAAAACCAAACAAGAAAAAGAATGTATAAAGGGTAATACAAAAACTGAATTCATTATCAACAAAACTCAGTTAACTCGAAAGAAGATTAGCTAATCTCAATCGAAAAATTATCACAATTACTTTAAAAACAGTTAAAAATTTAAATCACTGTAAAACTGAGAGCTAATTTTATATCGGAAACAGAAGTTTAACAAAGTGAATTTGAACAATCCTCCCAATGCGTCGGTAAAACATCTCTCGAGAATTAAAGAAAAAAAAATAAACATGACCGAAAATAGCATAAAAATAAATGAAAATGAAAAACAAGAAAGAAAGAATTATTTGATGCAGCAGTTATTTATTTTTCAGTATAATCGCCTTTTTTGTCAATGCACTTAATTCAGTGGTGGGTTTTAAGAAAAGAAAATGTAAGTTTCTGATTAAAATTCAGTTTATGATTAAATTTCAAACTACGGACATATTTATAAACACTCGTACATCTCCCCACACCACACACACACACACACACACACACACACACACACACACACACACACACACACACATGTACACACATGTACACATACATCTACACATACATCTACACTCGCATATATTTACACTCAAAGACGCATTTATGTTGAAAACTTGAGGAAATAAATGGAATGATAATGACAATCGTAGGTTTCCTAATTTTTCACGCAGGATGAAACAAAAACACATATAAACAATGAACAGAAGAAATACGAAGAAGATATAAACTTGGTGATGATTGAGTTAAAATACAGATACTATATTTGATGGCATATAAAACCCTTCCATTTACATTTAATGTTACAGTACTAGCATAATTATAAAAATATATATAATAAAAAAGAATTTGAAAATATATAAAAATAATTAAAGAATATTTACCATTTAATTATTTATTAAATATAATACAATAGACTAGGTTTGTTTATTACAATTTCTTTGAGGGGAGAGTTTTATCATTTATTAATAGACGTAAGTCATTAAAACGCTAAACGCTAAACGCTAACCTGCAAAAATGCTAAAATGAAACCAGAGGGGTAATAAAAATGGCTTGAATAAAATTTGATGAGGAAAACTTTGTATATTTGATGCTCAAATTGATGTAAAAATATTGCCCAAACAAAACGTGGAGATTTATGAAAGGAATACGTGTATAAAGTTTGGGCTTCAAATTTGTAAAAATAGAGGCCCAAACCATATATGATGAAAAGAAGCCAAAACAAAAAGTTTGTAAACAGGCGTAGTCTAATGAGATAGGTTTTGTGATTTTTTATTATTGTTTTTATTTAAATCAAAACGGATATGGGGCTATTTAAAACATTTGGTTTGTCCTAGAATCAGAAAGGTAGCAGTATTCATCAGAAAGATAACAGATGGTTACTAGGAGTTGAAATAAAGATGAAAAAAAAAAGAAAAAGAAAGAAGAAATCAGAAAGCATTCAAAGACGAATGATCATAGATATGTGCTGGGAGCTGAAATAATGATGAAAAGGAAGAAGAAAAAGAAAGAAGAAAATCAGAAAGCTTTCAACGTCGAATGATCGTAGATTTGTGCTGTGAGCCTAAATAATGATGAAAAAAAAAGAAGAAAAAGAAATCAGAAAGCTTTCAACGGCGAGTGATCGCAGATATGTGCTCGGAGCTGAAATAATGATGAAAAGGAGGAAGAAAAATAAAGCAGAAAGCTTTCAACGGCGAATGATCGTAGATATGTGCTGGGACCTGAAATAATGATGAAAAGGAAGAAAAAAAGAAAGAGGAAATCAGAATGTTTTCAACGGCGAATGATCGTAGATATGTGCTTGGAGATTAAATAATGTTGAAAGGAAGAAGAAAAAGAAAGAAGAAATCAGAAAGCTTTCAACGGCGAATGATCATAGATATGTGCTTGGAGCCTAAATAATGATGAAAAGGAAGAAGAAAAAGAAAAAAAAATCAGAACGCTTTCAACGGCGAATGATCTTAGATATGCGCTGGGAGTCTAAATAATGATGAAAAGGAAGAAGAAAAAGAAATCAGAATGCTTTCAACGGCGAATGATCGTAGATATGTGCCCGGAGCCTAAATAATGATGAAAAGGAGGAAGAAAAAGAAAGAAGAAATCAGAATGCTTTCAACGGCGAATGATCGTAGATCAGTGCTGTGACCTGAAATAATGATGAACAGGAAGAAGAAAAAGAAATCAGAAATCAGAAAGCATTCAACGGCGAATGATCGTAGATATGTGCTGGGAGCTGAAATAATGATGAAAAGGAAGAAGAAAAAGAAAGAAGAAAACAAAGCTTTCAACGCCGAATGATCGTAGATATCTGCTGGGAGTTGAAATAATGATGAAAAGAAAGAAGAAAAAGAAAGAAGAAATCAGAAAGCTTTCAACGGCGAATGATCGTAGATTTGTGCTGGGAGCCTAAATAATGATGAAAAGGAAGAAGAAAAAGAAAGAAGAAATCAGAATGTTTTCAACGGCGAATGATCGTAGATATGTGTTTGGAGATTAAATATGATGAAAAGGACGAAGAAAATGAAAGCAGAATTCTTTCAATGGCGATTGTATCGTAGATATGTGCTGGGAGTTGAAATAATGATGAAAAGGAAGAAGAAAAAGAAAGAAGAAATCTTTCAACGGCGAATGATCGTAGATATATGCTGGGAGCTGAAATAATGATGAAAAGGAAGAAGAAAAAGAAAGAAGAAAACAGAAAGCTTTCAACGCCGAATGATCGTAGATATGTGCCCGGAGCCTAAATAATGATGAAAAGGTAGAAGAAAAAGAAAGAAGAAATCAGAATGCTTTCAACGGCGAATGATCGTAGATCAGTGCTGTGACCTGAAATAATGATGAACAGGAAGGAGAAATAGAAAGAAGAAATCAGAAATCTTTCAACGGCGAATGAACGTAGATATGTGCTGGGAGCTGAAATAATGATGAAAAGGAAGAACAAAAAGAAAGAAGAAATCAGAAAGCTTTCAACGGCGAATGATCGTAGATATGTGCTTGGAGCCTAAATATGATGAAAAGGAAGAAGAAAATGAAAGCAGAAAGCTTTCAACGGCGAATGATCGTAGATATGTACTTGGAGATTAAATAATGATGAAAAGAAAGAAGAAAAAGAAATCAGAAATCAGAAATCTTTCAACGGCGAATGATCGTAGATATGTGCTGGGAGCTGAAATAATGATGAAAAGGAAGAAGAAAAAGAAAGAAGAAAACAAAGCTTTCAACGCCGAATGATCGTAGATATCTGCTGGGAGTTGAAATAATGATAAAAGGAAGAAGAAAAAGAAAGAAGAAATCAGAAAGCTTTCAACGGCGAATGATCTTTTCTTACTTATTATAAAATGCCGATTGTGTCTGTCTGTAAAGTTTATATATTGGATAGGATTTCCTACATTTTTCAACCGATTTCAACAAAACTTCACAGGACTACATAAAATTACCTTGTGGTGGTTCTACCAGCGCCAAAAATCGGAAAAATATAATTGTTTTTGCACAAAATCAATTTTAAAACACGATTAAGAGACATCGTGAAAATGGAAGTGGGACAACTCATACCGTGTTGTTTGTGTGTGTGTGGGTTCCTTTAAATATGGGAGCGGATTTCGTATATTTTTCAACCGATAAAACAAAACTTCACCGTTTTTTTTTTTTTTTGGCAGGTAGTGTTTCTTATTCACTTGCACACTTTTTCTTTATTTTTAACATTCAGAATGCTTTAAAAATTCCATTTACAAGACAATTATTTATAATAAAATTCAATCGGGAGACTCATAACGATTGAAAATAATGTTTTTGTTTGAGTTTGGGTTTGACCAATTCGTAAAAAATAAAAAAAATATAAACTAATTAAGACATGCGTGTTCGTCAACCATAAACAATAATCTACTGATCTATACTGATTGTACGAATACAAACATCGAAATAAATTCTTTATCTTTAGGGAAAGATAATGAAATCTAAACATACACAAATCCTAACTAAAAATAATAACCGGAACGGGAAACTACTTTAAATACACATGTTGTCCAAATTTTTTACTGTATTCAATAAGTAAATATCATAAATTGTAAAAGATTATTATTACAGAAAGGCTACTAAATGAATAAGATTTGTTAGATCATAATTAATAAACCCAAATAAAGTTAATATTTTTTGTATTAGAAAGAACGAGTGGAAAATATATTCAAATCAGAATTCTAATTATAATCACCACATGCAAAATATGCAATTTTTTTACTGTATTCAATAAGTAAAAATCATAAATTGTAAAACTAAAAGATTACAGAAAGGCTACCTACATTTTTCAACCGATTTCAACAAAATTTTACGCAGTGGCCATCTTGTTTCTTAAGTTGCGTCTGTTTTGAAAGTTGCTGTTTCTACCAACTAAGTTTGTATCTGACACAAGAAGTTGTAGTTGGTAGAAAGTAATTACATTAATTATTATATATATATATATATATATATATATATATATATATATATATATATATATATATATAGAGAGAGAGAGAGATAGAGAGAGAGAGAGAGAGTAAGAGATGCGCAATGCTATTTCATATATGTGAATTAAAAATTACAATTTTTATCCATGATTAATTATATTCGATTTTTAATCGAACAAGAATATAACAAAAGCTTAATTGAAGAGTCTTGTTAGACATATTCATTGAAACCTGAAACAGAGATTGCTGTCCAAATGCACAATATTTTGCTGAAACCTCCTATAATTCTCTCTCTCCTCTCTCTCTCTCTCTCTATCTATCTATCTATTTATCTATTATCTATCTATCTATCTATCTATCTATCTATATATATATATATATATATATATATACATATGTGTGTGTGTGTCTGTGTGTGTGTGAGCTAAAGGTTAACAGCAAGAAATACTGTATCGGTGAATTATATTTAAATGTTCAATTTCTGTTAACTTCGCACTGACACCCTTGGGAAAGGTATAAATCCTTTTTTTCTTTCCTTATTACAAGATTTGGGTAAAATATCCGGGTAGACTGAAATATTTAGTCTTGGTTAGTAACCAGACGAGGGGAAGGACAACTCTGAATTTAATCCTTGGCTGCAGCTCTTCCCTGTAAAATCGATTAGCTAGAGTAACATCAAGTCGCGGGACGTTGTTGCAGTCCTACGCTGCACACGGAGTTTACAGGTTTTAATAATAATAATAATAGTAATAACCACGGAAAACCACATTATCCAAGTACTCAGCAGAATAACTCTCATAAAAATGTCAGACAGCAACCACCTCCTCAAAATTCATATGACAAAGCATACTGTGCAAATATACCTTGCTGCACTGGAAACACGGGCAAACCAATGGGGGAATATCAACAGAAGTTAATAATGTAATATAGGCAACAACTTTAGCAGCTACTAGGAAGCTTGGGTCAAGAAAATGAAAATATCAAACAATAAACAAAAAAAAAAACCAAAAAATAAATCAGCTTGGAAGGCAAAACTGATGCGAGAAATAAAGGAAATCTGATGTGAAATATCGATATTAGATGAGATCATAAAAAACTTAAATGTCTCAACATGCAAATGCAGGAAGATCAAGCGGAAATATAAAATTAAATCACTAAATGAAATTCAAAAAATCAAAGAAATGCTAAAACAGAAACTGCAGTTAAAGATACAGCGATACGAAAAGCGTTGTCGGTTCTATCACCAAAGTAAAATATTCCAAACGGACATTTTACAGAGAAATTGGAAAAGAATTTATACATGTCAAAAAGCCATCATCTATTGAAAAAGTGCAGAAAGTTTTGGAAAATATTTGGAGCATCTCAAAAGAATATAACCCCAATGCAGAATGGATCCAATGAGAAGAAAAATGAATGATGGATAAACCTCTACAAGAATGGTTTACCACGAATAATAACGAAATCCCCAAAATGGAAATCTCCAGGAAATGACAAGGTACCCAATTTTTGGCTCTATCCTCTGTCATCAGTCCATAACACCCTTGCACAAACTCTATCAATGCTTAATAATCCCAATAAAGTCCCAGAATGAATCACTGAATGTATTACATATCTACTACCAAAAACGGATGAAACTGATGATCCAAATAATTATAGGCCAATATCATGTCTACCAACCACGTATAAATTGATCACGTCTGTCCTGACAAAGCGTACTTACTCTTTTCTCGAAGCAAACAAAATTCTTTCACTGGAATAGAAGGGATACCGGAGAGGTTCATATGGTTGCACATATCATGTATTGATAACAAAATGATCTAAGAAAATTGCAGAAAAAGAGGTAGAAATCTCAGCACGGCATGGATAGATTACCGTTAAAGCCTTTGATAGTGTGCCACACTCGTAAAATCCTTAAAACTTTGGAAACGTACAAAGTCTTATCGGTGGTTGTAAATTTCCTTAAACACATCATGGGAATGTGGAAAACCACATTATACCTAAATCACACAAAAGGCACTGCCACATCCAACCGTCTGAATATCCGACAAGGAATATTTCAAAGAGACTTTCTGTCCTTCATTGTGTTTTGTCTGTTCTTAATCCTCCTGAGATATGAACTAAGCAATAATAGCTATAGATACAAAATAAACAAAAAAGTATTCAATCACCTACTCTACATGGATTATCTCAAACTGTTTGCCTAAGAGGACAATGAGTTGTAAAATGTTTCAATGGCGACATAGGTATGGATTTCGGATTAGAAAAATGTGCAAAAGTAACGTTCAAGAAAGGGAAAATTACAGAAATACACTCAATAGATTTAGATTTTTGAAACTGGAACAAGAACTCTATAGGTATTTAAGAATTAGTGAAGGAGATGGGATACAGCATACCCAAATGAAGGAGAAAGTAAGAAAAGAGTACTACAGGCGCATACCGAGATGAATTTACAAAACAGAATATCAGTGGTGCAATGCAGTTTCAACATTCATAACTGGACCATAATTGACATTAAGCGAATGGACGCCAAAACGAGAAAGCCTCTCACTTGCTACCGCATTCATCATCACAAGGCTAATGTTTATCGTCGGTGTGTTCCCAGATGCGAAGGAGGCAGAGTGTTAGTTGAGCTAGAACTATCTTACAAAACTAGAACAATTGACCTTCAAAATACCTGGAAATTACAAAAGACTGGATGATAATCTGTGTCAAAGAACATGAAAGAAGTTAGAAACTTTATTCAGTAATAAAGGAAGCCAACAAGTTCAAAATGGAGTTTCAAATGAGCGAAGAAATGCAAGTAAAGCATAATACACTGACTGCAACTGCAAAATTCTTAAAAAAGAAAGCAAAGGTAAATGTAACCGACCAGATACAGAAACGATGGCAACATAAACCTCTTCACGGTGAGTATTCTGCCCGTACCAAACAAGCTGAAGTAAACAAACCCCAAACCCATTAGTGGTTACGTAGTGCAGGGTTAAAAGCCGAAACCGAACTTGCTGTACAGGACAAATGCTTACTAACTAGAAATTACCAAGAACATATACTGAAAAACTGTTAACCCAAAATGCAGATTCTGTGATATCCAGAAACAATTGACCATCTTGTATCAGGTTGCACGGCACTGGCACCAACTGAATATAAAATGACAGAGTAGGCTAATATCTGCATTGGTAAATATGCCACTTTTACAGAAAGGAAACCGCAAGAAATTGGTATGAACACCACACAGACCCGGTTACAGAGATAAGACCTGTAACAATTTTATGGGACTTTACATACACACAGACAGAACAATCAAATCTAATCGCCCAGACATCGTGGTTAGAGAACGCAAAAATAAAATGTGCCTTTTTTATTGACATGGCAGTCCTTGCAGACTGTAATGTATCTTTGAAGATTTTCAAAAAACTAACAAAATACAAATACCTTGAAATCAAAATCTCAAAAATGTGGTACATGAGGACATCTACAATTCCAGTTGTAGGTGGAGCCCGCGGATTGATAAAAAGATTCCAATAGACTCATTGAAGTGATTCCTGGTAGCCCATTCCTTAAAGAAAAACAAAAAAAATGATCTCACAAGTATAGCCCACACCTTACGAAAGGCTTTATCTATGTAAAATATCTGTGATTTTTTTCCCAAAATACTCAGTAAAAAATGCCATGATGGCATTTCTGATCTTAAGTCTCTGGTCGTGACCCGGAAAAAAATGAATACACACCAGAAATCAAAAGAAATAATAATAATAATAATAATAACTACCATGCAAGTAATTAAATTTTCTTTCTTTTTTTTCTTTTGGTCATGAATTCTTTTAATCTATTTTCAGTTTTATTTAATTTTCTGTTAAATTTTTGTAGTTTAGGTGTTTAACCTGGGCATACATACGCACATAACAATTGTCCCAGTCTTGGGTTAGCTACAGATATCTTGTGAATATGTTACACAGAAAATTAAGTATAGTTGTGGATTAGTGATATATGCGTACTATTTGAGTTTTATTCTAAGATAATCAAAATTTTATTTCAAATATATTTTAAGAATTATTAAAAGCTTTATTTAAAAAGGTTATTTAAGATAAAATAATAAAATGTGCACACGGTAAATTAAAGTCGATCTCAACTGTGGAATGAACGCTAAATGTTAAAGAACGAACAATTTGTACTGTAATGAGATGAACATGTATGAAATAAAAACAAATTCGTGAAATTAGATTAAAATTAGATTAAAATAATTAAAGAACATAAAGATTTTAATTTCAAAAACTCAATTGCAGTTCAGGGTCGAATTTGTCCCCGACAGATGGTTCGTTCAGGAAAGATGATGTGCTCCACACTCTCGCCCTAACTAGAAACGCTTTTATGTAAAATGAGCGTCCTTCAATCCCTATCTGTGTAACACTCTTTTTTGTCTCTCTACGTCCCTCTCTCTCTCTCTCTCTCTCTCTCTCGCTTTCTCTCTGTTTTACTTTCTATGTCCCTTTCTCGTACTGCTTCCCTTTCAGTATTTGTATTACCAAGCGTGACACACACCATACATCAGTACAAGCGTATTACTAGTATTCTAGTAGTCCCCGTGAGAATTTCACGGCTTTCTTGTTTGAATGTTCTTTCTTTCTTTCTTTCTTTCTTTCTTTCTTTCTTTGAAATGAAACAGCGTTTTTCTTCGCGATCAAAACGGAATTATGAGGTATTGACACGGTGTACCACCCGTATGTGTTAACTAAGTAACTAAGGGAGGGATAAGCAGAAGTATAATAAGATAGTAGATAATAATATATGTAGGCCGACATTTATTGCTGAGGTAGTATTTATGCTGATATTGATTAAGGTTAGCGCAATCAGGTACAGCAACAAAATAGATTGTGTTCGGCCTCACTTTAATTAGGTAAAATTCCTTGCCTTAAAAATCAGTGTTTGAACCAGAGAGCTAGTAGGAATATACAGCCACCTAAGCTATTTCGATACTTCTTAGTATGTTGTACTTTGTTTTTGTTGTTTTAATGCTATACTAATCGGACTGTAGTCTTTGATCACGTGACTTCCAAACAGCGCTGTAATATAATTAGCAGAAATATAGCAGATGAGGGTGATTAAAATGGATTTTTCTTTAATAATTACGCCTATCGATTAGAAATGGCTTCTTATCAGGCAAATTGATCCTTATTCTAGAAAGATGCGCGCGCACACACGCACACAGCCGTATCTACACATATATGGCCTCTACAAACATTCCTATCGACACAGCGGGGTTTACGCACATGTATTACGTGTGTGCAAGTGTTCTCAGCGCTCTATTTTGAAGACTAAAGATTGAATACACAATTGAAAACTGGTTTGATGCTGGGAACTTTTGCACACACCTGCAAAATGTGTCTCAAAATATCCACATTTTATTCATACACAAAAAAATATATAATGTTTTTATACACCGGTATTTCATTGCACATATTACTATATATATATATATATATATATATATATATATATAGTAATATGTGCAATGAAATTCACATGCAAAGACTTATGCACCCCCCCACACACATGCAAAATATGATTTTCAATAAAGCACGCATCTACATACAAAAACTTAACTACACCTACCCTGGGCTTTGGCACCTACCATAGTGCAATAACTAGAAAGTTTCGTAGGCGAGATCACTATTGTAAAAAATATAATGTTTACAGGTGCTACACTACTGTAGCCTTGTGCCTGATAAGTAAATAGCTATTGACTTTCCCCAGAGGTGAGATGCAGGAAATAGGTTTTCCTTTCGAGGTAACAACCAGATTTTCAAATATTGCGCTTCAGTCTTATAAGGTGAACCATTTAAGCTCACCTTTCTTTGAAAATTGACGCAACACAATCTTCCTATGTCAGTTAATTTTTGTATTTGTGTGTTAAGCTCAGTAAATAATATACATACAAAGTTTTGATAAATGATCCAGCTTTTGCTGATTTTTTGACACAACTAGAAGTGGGTCAAGAGCTGCGATCGTTGTCTAGTTTACCGGATCAACGGAGGTCATAGAATAATAATTCAACGAATCACTTCTATACACTTTATACACCTTTTTTTTTATCTTAAAAGATTTATGAAATCCAAAAATTTAAGTTAAAAATATTTCTCATATTGAATTCTTTGATAAAAGTCTCAACAGGCATGATAGAATTTAACACTTCTAACAAAGGCTTGATGATATGTTACACAATTTAAGTATAGCTATGGATCAGGGATATATGCGATATTTAGCCTACATAGGGTGAACTTTGGTCTTGAACAATTTGGATAGTAAATTTATAAGAAAATTTTGAATTTCCAAATTCTCTTATATATTTTTACCATTCCCATCCAAACATGGCGTATAACAGATGAAGATAACAATATGATAAATAAAAGTGCAACTAAAATGAAACGTATATAAAATAATGTTTATGAGATACTTTAAGTTCACATATAAGACCCAGGAGCGATTTTTAAAGCAAAGTGAGATTTTATATGCAGTCTAATAAAGTGCATAAAATATTTTTAATAACAAATTCATAATAATTTAAGGAAAAATTGAAATTGACTTGTCGAGATATTCCTAAGAAAATATATAGCAGAAAATCTTCAGGAAATCGTCGAATGAATACAAAATCAGATTCGTAAATTTCTGACAAAAAATTATGTGAAATGTTCAAAATAAAGAAAATAATAATTTCAAAAATTATTTAAATTAATATTTTTATTGTTTTCAAATTTTGTTTGGCTATTTTTAAAAAAATATTGTTTGTTCTTCTGAAATGAAGTATCGTCATTTTTCTATAGATATCAATATATGTAGGGTGGCCGAAGAGTATACCGGTCAAAACGTTGTTTCAAAAACAGCGAAGATGATGATACCTGTTGAATAATTCAAGGAAAATATTGTTTTCTGTTAAATTGAATAAAATAATTGTTTCTGTTAAAATCAAACTTTGATTTCACGAGATGCACTTATGGAAATTTTATCTCAGAGAACGGGGAAAAAGTATATATTTTCAAATTTCTTTTGGAACACGGTATGGAGCACCCAATAAGAATCTAAATTCATTCTTAATAGTCCAGGAGATTAGTTTACTATTTAACGCACTAAGACAGGTAACTTAGGAATATTTACAAAGATTAGGCCCGTTCGGCAAAGACCAAAGAAGTGGATTTCCCAGGATCGAATTTAGTTGGGCACTTAGGGGTGTAGTGGTTAGCAAATTTGTCTCACTACATCAATTACGACGGATTTCTATCCCCACTGATGCTCCATACTTACGGTGTCACATCTAAGCTACGCTTGGTAAATCACTTCCCCATATGTGTCACATCCTGCTACCATGGGAAGGAAGATAAATTCACTTTACTATTAAATCACGAATCGTTTGACCAAAAGCAGTCTGCTCCAAGACTAACATGCACGCAAGTAAGTGTTTTTTGCTTTTGAACAGATGGAAATTCGCCGTCTTTGAACATGCCTTTTGTTTTTGTTTTAACTTTTAACTTTTCTTTTCCCTTTCTCGAATAGGATATTATATTTATTATCATAATTTATTACTATTATTATTATTATTATTATTTATTCCTGTTCAAATGTGCGCGTTACATTACTAATTATGTAGCATTGTTTTATTTTGGATTTTGAGAAGGTGTGGCAAAAAGGATTGCTGCTCAAGTTCTCTAGCTATGGAATCATTGGCAGAGTCTACTCAATAATAAAGTCCTTCTTAACAGATAGGTTCCTGAAGGTAGTTGTTAACGGCCAGTCCTCTGAGGTCCTAGCAATCAACGCAGGTTTCCCCTCATCAGGAGTCACTTCTTTTATTTTACCTAAATGATCTGCCTCAGATTATTTGTGAATATCTATGCTGATGATACAACGATATAAGGGTGCAACTCCAAAATTCTAACATCTAGCTCTAACATCTCTTTGGGGAGGAAATGGCTGCTTACATTCAATGCCTCGAAAACCAAACTATTTACATTCCATCATCGCCGATCTGACCCCCAAATACGACCAGTCACAATGAATGGATGTTCCCTTGGGGAGGCCCCATGCCGTGAGCCTCAAACTCAACCCAAACTTAAAGTAGAACTCGTACATACGATTGATCGCTAAAGATGCAGGAAAAATAGTCGGTACCCTGTACTGCTCCATCAAGTACCTGACTCCTCGTGCTGTTCTCTACCTTTACGAGAGTCAGATCAGGTTTAAAATGGAGTACTGATGTCATATCTGGGCGGGGACTGCCCAGACCTCACTCTCTAGCCTTCACAGAATCCAATAGCCTCTCCGCATTCTTGTGGGTGACATTACATTTTCCCCCTTGCAACGCTTCGCTCACACGGAATATGGCAAGCCTCTCAGTGCATTATGGCTACCTCCATGGAAAGTATTTGGACGAAATGCATTCCTTGGTTCTGCCAGTTCTAACTTTCACTGTTAGGACCCGACATGCCACTGCCATTGTTGCAAAACCACTTTATTCCATTGGTGAGAAGTAAGTTCCACTCGAGCAGCTTCTTCCCGCGAATCACTGCTTTGTGGAACCGACTCCCAAGATGTTGTTTCCCAGCTCACAACAATCTTGACCTGTTCAAGTCTAACCGTTATCTTTCCCACCTATCCGCATAAACATTGCCTTTTACTCTGTAATCCTCTACCTCGAGTGACACCCGGGACTTGTACAGACTGAAACTCAAATAACTCTTTGACTAATTTGCAAATACCTACTCGATAGCAAGCTCATCCAACTATGAGAACAGGAAGTGGGATAATATCAGTTCGTCTTAACATTGGACTAACGCAGAAAAATGCATATGAAGAAATTATTGATAAAAACGAATTTACAAGAATTTGGACTTTTTCTTTCGCTGGATTCTGCTAATGCGTTATAGAACTTTGGATAAGTTTTGATCAAGGCATTTTTCAAACTTTCAATGGATGTTTCTATTGATTTTTTCATTCTTTTAGTAGAATGGAATTCTTTCTCCCAGCAAAGTCTGGCACATGAATATGCAGGTTTTTTTTCTTTCAGATTTATCAAACTCCTGGATTTAACTTAGCAGTTCAAGAATCTGAGTATCAAGATTTTGCGATACTCAGATTTAAAAAAAAATTGAGATGTTTAAAAATGAAACAATGTTTGTACTGTGAAAGAAGGAGAAAAATAGACTGTTTTTTGAAAAAAAATTAGCCTCCGTTTAGCCGAAAAAATCGTGTTGTAAAAAAACTGTTGTGAAAAAAAAAAAAAAGAAAAGAAAACATTAGACTGTGCATTAATAAAGAACAAACAATTTTGACTCTATGTAGTAAAAAACTAGTGAATTGTGAAAAATCTATATTGTACGTTGTAAAAAAAAACAGCGTAACAAAAAAAAATGCGTAACAAAAAAAGGTAATTTATTTAATGTCTATTTTGGGCATGAACTTCAAAGAACAGTCATCGATATCAATTATTTATTTGCAGACCAAAAGAATGATCGTAATGAATTTTGGGTCACATCAAGTTGCACTCCATGTAATCAATATAAAAGTAATTTCAAATCAGCCTTTGGGAGAATAAAACGATTGGTTCGAACAAGTACTGTTTCCTATTAGATTAAATGAAGGTAGCAATCGATGAAAAGCGATCTTTCAGATTTAAGAGAAACAGCATAATATTCCATTAAGATTTCTTTGGTGACTAGACGGAAATTGTAAAAGTTTGATAGGAAGTTTTCATGCATTTGCCGTCTTCCACAAATATTGCACCTTTAGATTTAGTCCAGCCTTTATAGATTTTCTTTAACAAAAACAACTCCTTGGAAGACTGCAAAATGTAACATTTCTAGGAGGATGGAATTTTAAAGTTATCTGAAAGTGGCACAAAACAGTAAATTTTTTACTCTGTTATAAGTTAGTATCTAGCGATCTTTTTTTCTTTACTTAATAAAAACAAAATATTTTGTCAACCTGTTGTAACCTAGAAAGGGTTACTGAATGAGGAATAAAAAAAAACGAAGGTTGGAAATGAAATGATAATCTTTATAACATCAACAAACATACAATACTCGTCAACGGCGTGAAGTAGGTAAACCACTGCTAGTGGTGGACTACTTAGACACCATATTATTCCGACTGTCCAACGTATTTATGAGGATTGGGACATACATATATTAGTGTTCATAGGTACGGTATATAACACGACCAATGTTCCAAATAATTTGTAGTAACAATAAAAGCAACAAATAAAATCAAATAACTCCTTTCAAAATTGCAGAAAATATCTTACATCCGCATTTTGTCCCTGACGAGGGCTGAAGAATGAATCGGCCGAAATTCTGTAACAACAAAAGCAATATCAAGTATGAGTTCAATAATTGGAACAATTGTTGTAATGATGATATCTTTTCTCAATATTGTACAATTTATCTTTGATAGGAATTGTACACTTCAGAAAGGCAGTAGAATAAATCGGCAGAAACATTAAGGTTATAGCGGACAATGAGTTCAATAGTTCAAACAACTTTTGGAATTATTTACATTTCTTACGTGTTGCGATCATATTTCTCATATTCTAATGCATTATTTATATTGTAATGCATTTTTAAAACATCAAATTTTAAATCATTA